TCATAGTCATTCATTTTTTATAACGGCTGAGATAAATGCATGTTCTTGTTTATAATAGCTGCCAGGGAAAAGTAAAGTCTCTAGAGGGAATGGTGTTTGGTGCAAAAAGAAATATCAAAAGCTAAAAGAGCAGCTTTAAATTTTAGTTCTAGATTTCATTAACTTCAGCAGATATAAACGCTTGGTCTGATCAAAGCAAACTACTGAATTAGTTTGCAATACACTTTGCAAAGAAGAAGCACGGTGAAATATCTCTTAACCCTAACCTGCATCTTTTTATGGTTACAGAGAATGATAGTTGTTCAGTTGGAATTTGAAATGGTAAAATTATAGGTAACAATGACATAAACCAGAAGAGAACAAATGCAGAGATGACCGGTCAGGAGAGGGGAGGCAAGAAAACAGAGCAGAACAGGATGGAGGTGAAAGCGAGCAGATAAAGGTGGCGGTGAGACTCAGTCTAGAGGCAGAGATTAAACTGCATGGGAGCTAAACGGAGCCGAGATAAGGAGCAGGGCAGTGAGCGGGCAGGCAGAACATTTAGAGAGTCAGAGGATGGGAGGCGGAGGCTTCAGGGTAAAAAAAAAAGTCTCATTGAGAGCGAAAGAGAATAAAAGAGGCTGTGGAAAGTGGAATGCATGATTAAAAAGACCGTTCCTGGATTTCCACAAGCATAAATAAAAGAGATAATGCATGACTGGTTTTGTTGCAGTCACAAGCCCTCAGCATTGATACTATCTGCCCTTAATAACAGGCTCGGCTTTTCATTTCAGGGTTCCCGCCAGTTCAGCAGGACTTGCTCCCTCATGCATTATAAATACTGCAATGCAACTTGTTGACTCGCACTAAGGGGCCCCATGGCATGCTGATGGACCGCTCTGCAGACAAACCTATATCAACAGCATCATCATTATGAGCACCAATGGACAAGCAACCAGCTCTGATTGGATTATTTCCCCCTGTCATGTGGCCTGCAGGCCTCTGTCTGACAGACCGAGCTCAACTTGGTTAAGCTAACAGGCTAATCTAATGCTGCTGTAGTCACACACACACACAGATGCCTCGAGGTCGGCTGTGTGTCACTCTCTTCGTCTCCAGACCACGAAACAATTAGTTGTCAAGCCCCAAGGTTCCAAGCCGGAGCATACCGGGAAGTGGCGGGCCTGGGTTTGCCTTCTGATTGGATGCCCCTGGAGATGAGGTGAATGCCAGCTGGCAACAAGCGCGAGCCAGACAGCCAGGCTCAGTCGCGCAGTATTTGAGGGACAATACAGCGCTGGCAGAGGCAGCCCGCTCACTTTCATGTGGGATGTGTGTTTGCGTATGACAGCATGTGCGTTTGTGCTATTTCAGACTGGCTTACTTTGAGCAGTTCTTTGGGAAAATCCTGGCTATCGTTCAGTCCTTCCAGGTTGCCAATGAATTGTGTGCATGACATCCTCTTGCCAATGTTCTGGAAAAAAATAATAGACATTTAATATTTATTATTTCATGCTAACACACATTCCTTACCTCTTTATTTCACACAAAGTACCTTCGATTAAATGTCAATTTTTATTGTTATTGTGTCCCTTTGACTATGAAAAGTTATGGAGATGTAGAGAGAAGCTGTCAATGCAAAAAGCATTAAATCACTGGTCAGGTGTCAAAATTATTAACGCTGCTGAGTTAGTGTTTGATGAGATTTAAATGGTTACATTTTAGATACTTTTGAGGCAAAGTCTCTCTGACAGTTCAGTGAATAGACCATATTTATAGTCGAGTCTTACATCCGCTCATTCTGGGGTTTAAATAATTTCTTTTGTTTCTTTCGCTCAGGGTGAAATGGTTGTACATTATACATGTTTAATGAGTTTAAAAAAAACAAGATGCGCAAGTATAAACTTATTTTGTAATTTCTCTAACCCATACAGGCTCAAATATATACATACATCCCCACTAATATTTAGTTAGATGTCCCCTCATTTCTTGGCCACATGCTCGTGGTAGCCACCAATGAGCCTCAGGCATAATTCTGGCTGCATATTTATCCACTCTTCTTGGCAGACATGGTAGAGTTTGTTTAATTTGGTTGGTTGGTCAGGGTGTCACACAAAACTAGCTTTTAATCATAATCCACAGGTTTTCACTACGTTCAAGGTCCACATTTTTCGACGTTGTGGTCAACAGTGTTGGT